ACAACCAAAAGAAGGACAACAACAAATTAAAAAACAAAAAACAACCAGAACTGCCAGAAAATCAAACTGTATGGAAGTCCAACAACCAAGGAGTTAAAGAAGACACATTCATCCAAACTGGTAGGAGTGGAGGAGAGGACTCACAGCAAGGTGGTGGCTGGCAATGGATGGGGTGAGGCAGTGGCTGGCCGGCTGGGAGGTTCCACATTTGCATATGGATAAACTGGGAGGAGCAACTGGGGAGCGAGACAGACCGCATAACCCAGGGTCCCAGCACATGGAAAGCCTCAAACCTCTGACTGAAAATACCTGTGGGGTTGAGGCAGCAGCAGGAAAAACTCCCTGCCTCACAGGAGTTTGTTGAGAGACCCACAGGGTCCTAGAATATACACAACCCACCCACCCGGGAATCAGCACCAGAAGGGCCAAATTTCAAGGGAAGTGACTAAAATCCAGCAGAGAGCAGAGCAAGCACCATTGTTCCCTCTCTAACTCCTCTCCAACATACAGTGTCACAAGGCAGCCATGTGGGTTGCCCCGCCCTGGTGAACACTTAAGGCTCCACCCCTTACTACTTAACAGATGCACTGAGACCAAAAAAAAAAAAAAAGGCCCAAATGAAAGAACAGATCAAATACAACTAAACCATGAAGAGATAGCCAAGCTATCAGATACACAGTTCAAAACACTGGTTACCAAGATGCTCCAGGAACTCACTGGGTACTTCAACAGCATAAAAAAGACCCAGGTAGCAATGAAAGTTGCATTATGTGAAATAAAGAAAAATCTACAGGGAACCAACAGTGACAGGAAAGAAACCAGGACTCAAATCAATGGTTTGGAGCAGAAGGAAGAAAGAAACATTCAACTAGAAAAGAATTAAGATGGAAGAATTCAAAAAAAATGAGGAGAGGCTTAGGAACCTCCAGGACATCTTTAAACATTCCAACATCTGAATCATAAGGGTGCCAGAAGGAGAAGAGGAAGAGCAACAAATTGAAAACTTATTTGAGCAAATAATGAAAGAGAACTTCCCCAATCTGGCAAAGGAAATAGACTTCCAGGAAGTCCAGGAAGCTCAGAGAGTCCCAAAGAAATTGGACCCAAGAAGGAACATACCAAGGCACATCATCATTACATTATCCAAAATTAAAATGAAGGAAAGAATCCTAGAAGCAGCAAGAGATAAGAAGAAAGTTACCTACAAAGGAGTTCCCATCAGACTGTCAGCTGATTTCTCAAAAGAGACCCTACAGGCAAGAAGGGGCTGGAAAGAAGTATTCCAAGTGATGAAAGGCAAGGACCTACATCCAAGATCACTCCATCCAGCAAAGCTAGTATTTAGAATGGAAGGGCAGATAAAGTGCTTCCCAGATAAGGTAAAGTTAAAAGAGTTCATCATCACCAAGCCCTTCTTATATGAAATAATAAAGGGACTTATCTAAGAAAAAGAAGATAAAAAATATGAACACTAACATGACAACAAACTCACATCAATTAACAACTGAACCTTTAAAAAACCCACAAACAAACTAAGCAAACAACTAGAACAGGAACAGAACCACAGAAATGGAGATCACATGAAGGGTTGTTAGTGGGGGAGTGGGAAGGGGGGAAAAGGTACAGAGAATAAGTATCATAAATAGCAAGTAAAAAATAAACAGGGGCAAGAACAGTATGGGAAATGTAGAAGCCAAAGAATTTAGGTATATGACCCATGCACATGAACTAAAGGGGAGGAATGTGGGTGGGATGGGGTGTACAGGGTGGAGAGGTATAAAGGGGAAAGAATGGGACAACTGTAATAGCAAAATCAATAAAATACATTATAAATAAATAAATAAAAATATAGTATATGACATTTCTTAAACTAAGAAGACAGAAAAACAAAAATAATACACGTAAATTGACTTTCACTTCTTCTGCATTAAAACAAGCAGAGTCGTGAAGGTGTATCCTAGCCTGTTTTCCACCCTAAATTTCACGTTTGCTGGTTATGTGAGTCATGAGAGACCCTAAAGGGAGAAGGCACCAAGGGGACACCAAGGAAGAGGGGTGTAAGGGCTGAGAGACCAGTTCCTGCCATTCTGCCATACCCAGCATGCTGTGTTATCCGGACGTTCATTGAAAAGAGTGGTCAGCCATGTGCCATGTTACCATGAAGAGCAAGGAAGATAAATGCTGAAGGTTTTTTTTTCCTTTTTTAGCTTGAGACAGTGAGAAGCCACAGGTGACCCTGTGAAATCAGATTCTGTAGCGAGCTGAGGACATAATTCAGCTGTCTGCTGGGGGAGCATTTCAGGGGAGGCAAGGAAGCGGGAGATGGTGGAGGTGAGCTAGTCAAGAAGCTCAGCAGCCATTGCCAGGAGTTGAGGTCCTCAGGCCCTCACCAGGGAGCCTTCTCCAGCTGGGCTGTGCACAGCCTGAACCGACTGCAGCAGGGAGCTAGGACCCAAATGTGTCATTGTCTGCAACGCCTAATACAGAACATATCTGACACTTAATGCATGAACTTAATGTTTCTCGAATATGTCAAAGAAAAAAATCTACAGAAAAGAAAAAATGTTTACGAAGAATCTAGTGATGAAAATGAAAAGAAAATCATATTTATATTTTGAAGATTATACCAAGAATTGATTCAATTTTACTTTGAGAATTAGGCAGAGTCCGAAAGAAACACAATGGTGGTGATAATAATAACACAGCCTGCGGTGGCATAAATCTCGATGATTCATCGAGATTTTCATATTCACCATCTAGTTCCCTTTGGAAAAGTGCAGCATGGGATATTTAGGAAAGAGTTGTAACCAAAAGCACAAGAAAGGTGACACTTGAAATTAGCATATAGGAAAAGTTCCTAGGACAGATTTCTAATGATCTTAAGTCATTGCATTGCACTCTTGAAAAGAAAAGCTAAATCGACGCACGGGAATAACGCTAGGCTCAGACTGCGGAGAGACGCAAGGCCGGTGCACCTGAGAAATCACCCGGTTTCATCACAATGCCACGTGAGTCTGCGCTTCACACAGCTCTGTGGAGCATTCTAGGCTCCCCATTTAAAAGCTGGGCCAGAGAGCAGAAATCCAATGAAGAATTCAGAGAAGAGCTCTAAAGATTATTAAAGACTAAAGAAATAAGATCTACTGTGAAATATTCACGGAACTGGACTTTTCCCCATTGTTTCACAATTCATGGTGATTCACATAATGTAACAGTATGGGGGGAAGGGCTGTTCCAATAATTCCAATTCTAATTATCTTATAAAAGAAATATGCAAACTTGGCGGCAAGATCTCGGTAGCAGCAGCTCTTCAACAAATGATTTTTGGTTCAGCTTCCGTTGGGGAAGGGCTTTTTCACAAGTTTTGTGGAGGTTCATGTTTTTGCAGGGAAAGTAGAGTGAAAGAAAAACAGGTTTATTTAGACTAAGGAAGCAATGGAGGACTTAATTTAAACACAAGTTGTCAGAGGGAGGTGCGGAATCCACTTCTCCAAAGAGTTGAGCGAACAGGCCCGGGGCTCATCTCTCCGGATGGTTCCAGCCTGCAGAGCAGCGGGAGCACTGCCACCGCCCGCTGGTTCCCTTCGGCCTCTGGAGTCTACAGGCTGCAGCAGCGTCTGAACAGGCCTCGTGCGCAGGGCCAGTGGTTTCTAACTAGAGTGTCTCCTTGCCCCGCGGCAGGCTGAGTGGAGAAGGGAGGGTGGGGTCGGAATGGTCCCTGAGCCGCGCTCTGTTGGCATTACCCAGACTGGGCACGCCATCCACCAGCACCTTCCGCCGAGAAGCCCAGAAGATACCAGTTAATATTAAATGATACTGCTCTGTCGGTTTTTATTGGTCCCATTGTATTGTGGGTGAGCGTGTGTGAAAATACCGTCAGTAAACTACCTGGAAAGGAAATGCTGTTAAAAATCCAGAAAACATAGCGGGGGTGGGGGTGGTGGTGGTGGGGGGGAATCCTCCCTGTCCTTTTGAGGTTAGGTTGTACCGTCAAGCATGGGATTCTTTACTTTCAGAGTCTAACATTTAGCATCTGAATTTGCTGGGGTCTGAGCCCTGTCTAGGATTGTTTTCTGTTGTTAGCACACATGGGTTTTTCCTCTTAGAAAATGAGCTGTGCTCTACCCCCCTAAAGCTACGGGGTAAGGGCTGACTTCTCACAGGAGCTGAAGAGACAGCAGAGCTGACGGGCACAGAGTGAGCTTTAAATACCATGCACCCCATCATTTGGTGGGTGGGTGTTGTCGCTAACTATGCCTCTACTTCAACAAAGAAGGTGGTGAGTTGCCAGAAACCAGGGATGCTGCATCTGAAGGATTATGCTGAATCCTTTCCAGAGAACCACTTTTTGTAAAAAAGATAAATTTTATCCTAAAATGTTTTCTAAATTTACTTGGGCACTTTAGTCAAGGAAAATCGTTTGAGTGTTGCTCCATGGAATTACTATGTGTAGAATTAGAACAACTTCCCCTCAACAAAGGTCTGTCTTTATGCATCAGGTGGTGTCAGATGGCCTGCGTGGGGTGGGGAATCTGCCAAGGTCACAGTTATGCAGGCTGGCCAAGGAGACCCTGGACAGGCAATCCTAAGCCTACCACATTTACAAACAGGTGGTGAAAATAAAATTTCGTTCTGTTTTAACTGTTTTTTTTCCTCTTGGCTTCCCATAATTGCTGCTTTTCTTTAGGTAAAGCAGTCTTTTTTCTTTCTTTTTTAATCTCCCAAATGCTAAGTTGATGCCCTTCCCTAGAAGTCTTCCCATTAGTTAAGTTGGCATGAAGGTCATAAACCATAATCGATATGGTGGCTGCAAGGTGCTAATTGTCATCCCCAGAGAGGGACAGCATCAACAATCAATAGGGAGGAGCAGAACACTAGTGGATTTATGGCTTTGGTTTTGAAAAGGTGTGGAAATGCCCTGTGATGCTTTCCCCCTGCACTCCTTTTGAATGTTAATGCTTTCTTGGGGATGATTTCAGACACACTGCTAGGATACTGCCTCCACTCGCTGAAGCAGAATCCTCTGAAGAGTTGCTGAGGCAGAACTGAAATCATCGCTCGCCTCAAAGAGGCAGCCGTGTTGGCCGCTAATGATGCCTCACACAGAAAGACGATGCTCCTTTAACTCAAGGGTGTTAGGGGGAAGTTTCTAAGCCTGAAACAACAGCTTTGGATCTGGGGTGTGCCATCAGCTGCTCGCAGCCACCACTGTCTACTGCTTTCACACAGCCTGGTCGGCCAGGCGGTCGGTCAGGAGGAATGAAACTGAAGAAGCTTGTAACTACCTGTAACAGTTCCACCAGGAAATGGATCAAGTGCTTGTTCATCCAGATCCAGGTACTTGACCAAAACTGTGTCTGCGACAGGCTCGTTAAATGCTTTTCTCTAACTTTACAATTTATGCATGAGCAATAATTGCATGGATGCCTTTTGAATCCCAGTTCTGAATTCAGAGCTAGCTGTCAGATAAAGTCTAATTAAACAGTTGCTAGGTGAAGTTAATGTGGGGGGAGGGAATGTAATGATGCTTTTGTTTTTAAAGCATGCTTAAGTTTACAATGCTACTGACGCTGGATGAAGGGGTAGTAAAATAGGCTTTTTTCTTGGCTAAGCTGCAGTAAATTATTCATGAAAGCTATTGAGCCATGACAGTATTTTTTTTCTTTTGCCTCAGATATCCAATCTCCCAACATGTAAGAGGGATGCTTAAATTTGTTTACAAAGGATCGCAACTCGACAACTCAGAACGCTAGTGGGGACGGGCCACTGGCATCCCTGGGCGACAAGCAGTGTGTAGCCTTGGGCTTGGGAGGCATCCGCAAGCGCTCTTTTCCACTGGAAAACTGAAGGAAAGGCTAGGGAAACTGGGTAGAGTTGTAATGTGTACTGCTTGAAGTTAAAAGGTCCAGCTTGCTATGGTGCCTTTTGATATCCCCAGTGACTGACTGAGACAAGGTGGTATTTTTCTGATGTTCTCAGCTAGGCTACAGCCTTGCCCTTCAGTCCCTTTAAAACTCTTCAAGCAGACATTAGGAAGAAGGTAAAGATAGGGAAGAAGAAAAGACGAGGTTAGGGCCCAGGCTGAAGAGAAAGGTCTCCTGCTGACCCAGAGCTGGCAAGCATGGGAACTGGCAGGGTCCACCCCAAGCCCTGCAGGTTGATTTTGCGGACGCAAAGAGCTGGAGGGACCAGGCCCCGGTGCAGCACTGGGGGCTGGCAACTGTTCCGAAACTGCCTGTTGACATTTGTAGCTGACCATATTCACGTGTCTTTAAAATCATTGTTTATGGGTTCTCTAGTAGCTTTGGGTCTCTTGTCTGAGTGTATAAAATGATATTCACTCTTAGCTGTCCTGTGAATTCTGAAGCACCAGGGCTCTTGTATTGGAACAGGAGAGCTGTATTTGGAAAAGAAGAATATGGAAGTTGCGGTGTTTTTATGTGAGCCAAAAGAGGGGGTTTGGTAGTTAAAATGCATGAAGTACCTGCAAAGAGCCAGAAAATGGTTCCCTGAAGTTCTTGGCAGGCCACCAAGAGAGCCATGAGTTGTTTGAATTTATGGGAAACATTGTGTATCTTTGTGTATATATCCTGGAAGGCAAGTTATTGTTCCCGGGGCTCATACACAGAATTTCTACAAGATTCAGAGGTATGCACACAATTTAGTTGCTTATATAGTGATTTGATTGCATAGAGGATGAGGTGGCTTTTGTGGAGGGCTCCCAAAGGTGGGGGGAAATGTACAATAGGGTGGAGGGCGATGTTCACATGTCCAGGGCGGGGGAGGGGGTGTGGAGGATGGGGGGACCTCCAGAGACTCCAGTTATGCAAACAGCAATGCAGTGGAGGCTTCCTTTAGCTCAGAAAGTAGAGAGCAGTTCTATTTCACCTCAGTTTCAGGATATGTATTATTTTAATCATTGAAAGCCACATTAACATTTCAACTGTCAGCTTCAGAACTGTGGCAGAATAATGCTGCACTTTGAGTCCGTTTGTCTCTGCCAGTTGTTGCAAATTCAGTCCTGCTTGCCTCATCAATTCCCTTCCTGTTGCAATCTACAGACTGGGCTCCCCAGTCCTCTGGATAAATAGAAATAAGGCACACAGGGTGTCTTTGCAGGACAAAGTGTCCTGTCTGTCACATGTGCAAGTAAACTGGACAAGTTTGTGAATGTTCTTTCTCGATGGACAAACTGTTTTTACACCTACTTTTGAAAACGTGTCAACTCACATAACTAGGCTTCTGGCCTAGAAGTTTTAAAAATTAGGTACAGCAATTATGTGGTTTTGGAGTACTTAAAATACAGACAGCATTGCTTAACTGCACCCTGTGCACTGTTTGCAGCCGAGAAATGATGACTTGCTATTCACTCCAACATGCCAGAGAGAAACTTGCGATCCAGCATCCTTAGGGGGGATGTTGCTTTCATGGTAATAGATTTCTTTTTTAATTTGGGGCAATTTACTTATAATCTCTATTGCTTTGTGTGCTGATTTGCATAACAGAAATCAGAAGTAAATCTTACTTTGCATAAAAATGGTGTAAAGAGAATATACCCATTTGCTCTCCCCTACTTATTGACCACTCGCTGCATACCAGGCAGGACTGCACGTGCACTGCCTCAGCCATAGCTGTTGCTGCAACTCTGGCAAAAGGCTGAGCACAAGAGCTGATGGCCATGGACATCAGATGGGGGAGTGAAACGCCTGTATGTGGGGCCGCATGTGCTCAATGCAGCCTGCCGCTGTCGCTTCAGAAAGAAGAAAAGAAACGTGTCATTGCTTTAAGATGTATTTTCTTCAGATGAACTATTTTTCGTTACTGTGAAATTGTATAATGAGATGCTAGTGAAACGAATGTGCAAAGGAGGGATCAAACTTGAGAAGGGTACGTGTTGACATTTATAGTTTCCATGTAAGACATTTGGATGAGAGATATTTCCAATGGCTGCCCTTCCCAACCAAAAAAAAAAAAAAAAAAAGCAGATCAGGTGAGAAAGGGTTGACCCCTTGAATAGAGGGACACTGCTTATCTCCAATTGGTTTTTGTACTGCAGACCCTCTGATCAGACTGCGACTCAGGAAAACTTAAAGGGCCAAATGACTGCTTTTCAGATCTCGAGCTCTGTGTCTGCTAAAGTGTCACAGAGACTCAGACTCTCTGAGTGTCTTTGACACGGGATCTATTTCGAACGCAATGGTCTGACATTTCAGTTCAGCTGGATGACATGCTTTTATTTCCCCCCCTGTCTGTATCAGCTGGCACCCTGAAGTTTGAATTCAGTACCCTGGACTGTCAGGGGCTAGAGATGTGAGTGAACCCCTATTGAAAGAGGCAATGATCGCTGAACAGCAAGAAATTCCTCAAAGAGCCTATTGTTTAATGAGGGGAAGAAGATGAACCCCGTGAAGACGTAATAAGGTGCTGTCACGGAAATGCAGGTAATGTGCTCTTGGAGAGAAAGCAGAAAGCACCCACTCCCTTTGGCGGGGGGCAGATGTAGGCCTGGCTGCAGAGGTGGTATTGGTGAGGACCACGGGGGAAGAAGAGAGACCTAGGGGCGGGAACAGGGTGAGGAGGAGAGCGCCAGGACTCAGAGCTCACAGGTAGGAAGCCTAGAGGTGTTCGAAAAACAGCAGGGGTTGGGGAAAACCGCTGAGCAGGCCAGACCAGGTGAGGCTTTCTCTTTGAGAGTCCTGGACTCGGTTACTGTCAGTTTGTTCTTATCAATATGTTGGTCGTTTTGCCCAAAGCCAAATGTGATTTGATGCTTGTCCCTTTTTAAACTTATTGTGAAAATAAAGTAATATCTTAGAAATATTCTATTGTCAGAATATGACCTAATTTGTGGTCCCGAGAACAGGTGTATCAGGTCTGCAAGGGGTTAAAGGTGGATGAGGGTTTTAGACGTTGGAGGTCTCCGGTGTTCTGAGGGGAGGAGGGGCCAGATCTGAGCTCAGAAAGGTGAATCTTGACATGGCATGTAGGAAGTATGGGGAAAGAGAGTGAGCCCTTTGCAAATTACTCCTAAGCCAGTGGCTAGTAGGGAGAGTGACTGCGGCCAAGATGGACTGCTCACACTGGGCTGTGTAAAATTCAGGGCGTGCCTTAGTGAGTATCAGTGTCCAGGGAGCCTGACTTGAGAAAGGGGATGTATCATAGGATTGTAAAATACGTCATCGTTTAATTAAGGTTTCTTTTGCCCAGTGTTAAATTAGGCTTTATTTCCTGAGCGCCAAGCACACACAGACCTAGCAGAGGGCAGAGGGGATGTGCCGCCTGTAGGGCGAGCCAGTCAGGATGCAAACGCTGCTGTATCCGCCCTCCTGCTCATGCTTAGATAACCGCCTTGGGTGCTTCTTAACACTCAGGGCTGTGTCGAAGTCTTCTGAAATCATTTACCTGCCTGGACTTCGCTATTCACATGAAAGAAAAATTCATTGTTTTGCTAAAGGCAACTGTGAACATTCCTAAGAATTACTTATACCAAAAGGGACATTTTACTTTAAGACAGACATTATTTTTAAATGCACGTGTTTTTGAATATTTTTGTATCGTGGTTACGTTTATTTTTTTCTGCATCTTATTGTATTTGATGTTTCCTTTAACTTAAACACGCTGTTGAACTTTCCACATTTGTAAATTATTGATTAGCTGATTGTGGGTTTAAAAACCAAAACCAAAAAAAAAAAGAGCAGACCCTCCTAAGGATTTCAATCAGACCTAGGCAAAATTGTGACATAGTTCGCATTTCTTTCTGGATCTCTGTGTCTCTAAGTCCCTTTATGACACCTCCCAGTTTCCTCATCTCTACCCCTTGTCCCCCACCGTCGCCCAGGACTCTCCTGCTGTGCCACCTGCTGGCAGCACCCATGTCTGTCCCCCCCATTCTCTCTTGCAGCCCCTCACTCCCAGCAAGGTCTTCCTTCAGTTTCCTCCTTTTTAATCCTCACCCAAGGATCTGTTTATTGATTTTACAGAGAGAGGAAGGAAGAGAGAGAGAGAACCTAGGCACGTGCCCTGACCAGGAATCAAATCTGCATCCTTTTGGTGTACAAGTTCCAACCAACTGAGCCACCTGGCCCTGGCCTTTCTATTAACTATATTTCCCCCTCCCTCAAGGAGAAACCGTTTTCACAGACAAACCCCTACTCTGTCACTATGTCACTTTTCTTGGTAAACTATTGCAATTTAACATCCTTTAATGATATGACCAAATGAAGTAATTTAAATAGGAACTTGGGCACCCCAGTATCCTGGGAGGGAAGAGGAATTTATAAAGAGCTATAGAGTTTTCAAAGCACGTAATCATGCTGCAAAGAGACTCAACCACATTCTTGCATCTGCCTTTTAATCAGAACAGGGTGATAAAACTGAACATTTTAGAATCATTCCAAACTGAATCAGATGACTAGGTTATTTGCTGGGGCTTCCTCAGATGGTTGCCCATCACTGAAGCCTGCAAATGAATGGTGTCCCGGTTCTAAAACCTGAGTTATTAGAACAGCCCGACAAGTATGAGATGATGAGCTCAGAGAAAAGGAGTTGGCGTTTGCCTTGTACAGAGGACAAGGCTGGGGAAGACTGCTCCTGAGTGTCAACACGGCTCTTATCAGTGGAGACTAGGGGTGGGATGGGAGGGACGAACCAGGCACTGCTATCCTAGTCAGCCAGCCTGTGGATGGGGAGGAATGATCACAGGCTCAAAAGCTCCTCTATCCAGTTCTTTACTGACTTCATGGAGTTTCACAAACCTAGAAATCTTCCTGTTGTTTCTCCTATGTAACTTTGCCTGTATTTCCTTTCTGGTTTGTGTAGTGTTTCATAAGAAAATTTCTGAAAATGCAAACATGTACTTTCGGATGTATTGAGAACAGACATAGAAAAGGACTCTGCCCTCATTTGGGGTGGAGAGAAAATGAATGTAGAATGGGACCTAGTAAGCCAGTAGGAAGGCAGGGATGCAAATGTGGGCACCCTCAACAAACCATGAAAAGACAGGAAAGAACAGGGCAAGGATACCTTAGGCATCTATTCTACCCATACCTAGCTTCCTTTTGACCTGGCCCTTGGAGAATTTTCTATTTGGCTAAATAGAAAGACTAAATCCAGTCTGGGTATTTAGGGTGGGTACTGATGGCCCAGGTAGGAAGCACTCAGGAGAGCGGCATAGGAAGCTCTGGCCTCATTTCCTGCCCACCTCAGCCCCCAATCTCAGTTACCTATGGAGAATGAACAAACACCCAAGCAAACACCAAGCCCGATCCATGAATGGCTTCTATAGTCCAAAGAAACTTAGTTTTTAAAAAATACAGTCAAATTTCATCCCAATTTTATTTCAAAATAAAAAGGAATCATAAATGATTCCTTTGCAACTATGTCAGCCTTTTTAAAAAAGATCAGTCATGGAACTGTAAAATATTTCCCCCCAAATGGGTAACTCATTCCTCCCAGATACTGCTCATCATTCCCTTCATAAACTGTCTTTAAAACTGTGAATTCATGGACTTTGAAGTGTCGACATACATGCAAAGTGTTATGATTACTACTGCTGTACTTCAACGCAATGGTTGTAGGTTAGCTGAGGAAGTATTACATCAATGCTTTAGGTCATAGCTTTTATTTTGATTTGATTGCTTGTTTTTACTGAGAGTAATTTTTGAACCCATGTTAATTGCCATACCTGACTACTCTACTCTATAAATTTGCCAATAGACAGATTCATAAATAAATGTATCTCAGGATTTTCTGTTTGATAAACTGTAATATAGATACTCTTCTTTACAAAAGTTGATTTAAATAGATTTAGTTTAATATCTGAAGCTTCTTATAGTCTGCGTATATTTCAATTTGCCTTTAAAGCCAAACAATAATATCCACATTCCTTAATCTTTCTACCAGTAAAATTTTCTTCTCTTACTCTCCACTAAACAGTCTTCAAGAGTAAGAAGCCACTGTGAGGCTTTTAAAAACTGCAGTCATGGGGACATCTGCAATAGTGTCAACAATAAAATAAACGCGGTCAATCAATTCTTCTTCCCTAGCACAGTTCTCTGGGTACTTCCTTGGGTCAAGTATTGACACTGGTCTTTGTTTTCTGCAGAAAAGGGAAAAAGCAGCAGCAGCTCAATGGTTTCAAAGTCCGAGACACGGAGAGAAAGCAAAGAAACATCACAGTTCTCTTGGTCATGTCTTAAGTGAAGCAACACTTTGTTTTTCTTCTTTATGTACTTTTCAAAGGCTTTTCACAGACATTCATCCACATGAGAGCAACATGAGATACACAGGCATTTCTGCTGCTATTTTCACAGTGCGGTGACCTTTCCAAGGGCCAGCACTCTCTCAGCATCACATGGAAACTAGAACCCAGAACCCGATGCTCCCTGAGTTTCTAGATTAAGCACATTTTCTAGCTTCAGTCTCCTTGTGCTGAAGCTATAGAGGTTCCTCCTTTCATGGAGCCTGTAGTAGGGTGGCTAACACATGTTGTATTTAGCCACAGTCCTGGCACACAGTTTGTGTTCCATCAATGGTAGCTTTATACGAATGATGTAAGAGTAATGCTGTTGGAGGGGATCTAGAAAAGACTTGGCAGGGAGACTGGGTTTGGATGTCATGTTGGCAAGCACACCTTGGGGTCAACATTACCTTGCACATTCCTCATTTTCTGTACTCTGGTTCCCTTCCCTGCCTGTCCCTCCTGTCCTCAGGTGGCTGCTCGGAGGACAACCTGGTAATTTCATGCAGGAGTAAAATGTTAATTACAGAATTAGGCATCTCTAGCAAACAAATTTACAGATTCCTTCCTCTCTCTGAAAAATATGCTGTGAGCATAGAAATAAAGTTGCTCTTTGTTAGTTATTTCCCTTTTTTCTCTTTCTTTCTTCCTGCAGATAACTTAGCCTCTCTAAGGTGCCAACACCATGACCTCAGCAGATTGATGATGGAACAAAAAGAAACAGGGAGGCCCTTTGCTCTGTCTTCCCCAGACAATGGATGGGGGGCAGCCAGTTCCTTCGCCCCTGGTGCCCTTCGGGAACACGTTGTCAGATTCTAGCATGTCTCTAGAGCAAAAGACCACATTTGTTTTTGTGATTTTGTTGTTTATCTTCCTGGGCATCCTCATCGTCAGGTGCTTCCGGATTCTTCTTGACCCCTATCGGAGCATGCCGACCTCAACTTGGGCCGATGGACTTGAAGGCCTGGAGAAAGGGCAGTTTGACCATGCCCTTGCTTAGCAGGGGGAGCAAGACCCCCTCCTGAGGAGGCGAAGGGCTTCATGTCTTAGCAAGGAATTCTCTTCCATCGATGTTCTCAGCAAATCAAGTTTTAGCAACAACTGTTCCTGAGACCACCATCCATTATTCGGTTAGCATGCTGTTGGGTTAAAACATCGAGAATATTGGAAATGGCAATTTATATTACTGATCAAAAATAGATGGATTTCAATTTCTAGGCAACCTCAGTGAAGGAATATTGTCGAATGTGTGCAATGGAGAAACCATGAGCATCGATGCTGACGTAAACTCTGCTGTAGGAGGAAGCGCTGCCCAACCTGACCCAGGAACAAAGATCAGAAAGGATCTGGTCTGAGTGTGGTGACTGGTCCAAGAAGAGACTTCCTTGCTTTAGTCCTGTCCCTCGGATGCTTCATTTTCATGGGAATCTGGGCCCCAGGCAGGGAATGAGAGGCTGTGTTCAGCGGACCAAAAGCAGGCACTTGTTTTCACCTAAAGCAGAGCGTGGGGAGGCCTTGGGAGGACTTAGAAGAGAGGGTTCCATCCTGGGAAAATGTGAGTGACGGTGATGTTTCATTTTTTAAATAAAACTGAAGTCAAAGGTTTACGGTGGTTTTAAAGCTATTTGCCAGGGCAGGTACATTCTATATATTCATATTAATAACATGTGTGGGCATTGCTATACATAACCTGAATTTACTTTCTTCACACAAGCAACTGAAATAATAGGTTACAAGTGCAGCCTCAAGTTTGTTGGTTTTTAAATAAAAAGTTAATTGTTTAGAGTAGGAGACTTTCACAGTCTCAAGTGAACTGTGTGTTTATGACTGAATATAGAAATCAAATAAAACTTTTTAAGATACAGAAATGTCTCCTCCTTTATTTCTCTGAGACTAAGCGCGCTGGAGGCAGTGTGTCATGCTGAGCGCTGGGCGTCTGGGTGCTCTGGGGAAGAAAAGAAGAGCAAAGACCATGAAAGGCCGTCTAACTCATCCCTCTCCCACTTCGGGAAGGGCTCCTACAAACTGTCTCATATGCATAAAACCTATTCTAAGCACTATTTAATTCCACCAAAAAGAGAAATATGAAAACCTATTATTCCAACTTCTATTGGACAGAAAACCTTGTACCTAAACTAAAGCCCTCAGGCTGTATTTATGGTCTTTGTCTTTTAATTTTCTCCTTAGCTAGCCATTGTTTTTTATATTTATAAAAAGCTTAAAAGCCAACTCTGTGTAAAAAGGCAGCCCCTAGTAAACACTGCTGTCATCTTTCCTTTTTTTTTTTTTAACATTCTTTGGGGGTCTGCCACTTAGATTTCCCGCTTCCTATTTTCCCATTGATTTTTTCTTTACTTAAATAAAATAGCTTTATTGAGAAATAGCTTTACTTCAACAGCTTTATAAAATTTACCTTTTTAAAGTGTGCAATTCATCACTTTTAGTATATTGACAGAGTTTGCGCAAACATCACCACTATCTAATCCCAAAATTCTGTGTCCCCTAACAGTCACTTCCTATCTTCCTTCCTCCTGGTCCCTGGAAATTCTAATCCACTTTCTGTCTCCATGGACTTGCCAACACTGCACATTTCGTATGAGCAAAATTGTAGAATGTGTGGCCTCTTATGCCTCGCTTCTTCTACCAGCATGTTTTCCAGGTAGGTTCATGTATATGGTAGCAGGATCAGCACTGCACTCCTTTGGCTGATGAAATAATGTTTCATTGTTTGGTCATGCCACAGTTCGTTTACCCATTGGCTGTATGAGTAAACAAAGAGCTTATTCATTAGCTAGTATGAAGAATGATGCTATGAACATTTGTGTACAAGCTTTTGTATGGATATATGTTTTCCGTTCTCCTGGGTATATTCCTAAGAGTGGATCTGCTGGGTGATACGCTAACTCTGTGTTTACTTTTTGAAGAACTGTGAGGTCGTTTCCCAAAGTGGCTGCATTATTTTATATTCTCATCAGGAGTGTAGGATCGTTTTGATTCTTTCCTTATCCTCCAACTATTCACCTTTCTTTTTTAGCTGTAGAATTTACAACTGAACACATCACTTCAAGAATTAGTCTGGTTAAAAAAGAGTGAACCACTTCATGATTTCTACATGATAAAAGTTCACCAATGCCTTCAGAGATCCTTTGATGCTAGATCTAAAGAAAAACACAGATACTGATTTGTGGTCATCTTGTGGTTTATTAAGTCACCCGAGTGCTTTGGTGTCTTAGTAACACATACTTCCTTAACCTACCAATTATAAAGGTTTCTTTTTTCTTCAAATGTACCATTCCATGTATCTCCTTACTAATTTTTTTTCTTATTTCATTGGGAGTTTAACCAAAGCCACTCAGGTATTTATTGAGCACCTGCTTTGAGCCTGGCATTTCTAGCTGGAGAGAGAGAAAAAGCACGGGGTTAGTTTCTGTGCTTAAGTACCTTTCTACTTTATTGGAGAGCTAAGGAGTGAAAGAAGGTGTGTGCCTGAATCACTGTTCAAATGATGAATATGGACCTATGGTTGTTACACCATCAGAACCATCAGGAGCTATATATACATCTCCACACACTAATTTTTATTACACAAGTTGTACATGGTCATGGTAAAAAAAAAAACATAAGCAATATGGAAAAATATAAAGTAAATAGCAATAATGAAAATTGTGCCTCCTTAGGTCACTCCTCAGCTTCTCCTGGGGAGCTTGTTGGAAATGTAGATGACTAGAGCCTGCCATCCCTACAGGTTGACTCTATTAGAGTTGGGTCAGTGAACACAGGCTTGAGGAGACAGACTATGGGACGGATGGACGTAGGCCAAAACCGCCAAGGCAATGCCTCAGGAAACAATGGCGCAGATCTATAGTACATGAGGTTAAGTGCTTGGTGTAAAGCTTTATGCAATGTAAGTTACTATTATGAAAGAAATTTTGTCTTGAGCTAGGAGATGGAGGTATTTTAGATATGTGCAAAGGAAGAGAGGAAGTAAAACCAAAGAATAAGGAGAAGGAGGTGTAGTCGTGGCATTATGGCCAGGAGAGCAGCCTGGCTGGAGAGCGTTATTGGAGGGGTGGCCGGAGCTCCCGTGGGAAGGCCAAACATGGAGCTGAACATCAGAGGGTCCTAAAAAGCAGAACCAAGTGTGGGAGTCACTGTAGCTTCAGGAGAAAGAAGATGCCATGCAGAGTGGTGGTCAGTTTCAGTTTCCACCCTTCCTCAGTCAGGGCAGCAGTAGAGTCTGCGTCTATAACGGGAACAGACGGAAATAGCCACCTGCCCTCTATGAGGCCTTTGAGCACAGGACTGCCAGTAAGTGCCACAGGGCCTCCCAAACCCTGCCCTTCTTTCTCTCCTCCCTCTGCCCCCCACCCCCCACTCCATTTTTGTTTTCCCTTCTCAGGTTGCTGCTCCTTGTTCTACCTCCCTTCACTGGGTCTCCCTCTCCCCTACTCTCTTGTCCAGAACCAGAGGACCATGACAAGTGATAAAAGGCTTTGGGCTATTCAGACTGAATTGATCCCTCCTGTGAGAAGTGCTAGCTCTCAGTTCTAATTACTCAGGGCTTCTTGGGGTGAACAGCATATTCCCTAAAGCTCACATAAGCCCTCTCTGTCCTGGCTTTCTGGCTACAGGAGTTACAGTGCAGCATTTTGCCGGCCTTACAAGATATTTATAACGAGTGCAGCTGCCCTCTACCGTGTACATCTGCATTCCGAGATGAAAAATCACTTTCCCAAGGTCATTCTGGAAGAGAGCTGCCTTCTGATAGAGAAGAATGTGGCAAATTCATTCTCAGTCTGAGTTCTGACTGGTTTATGCCCCCAAGAGACCCCCAAGTTCGAGATCAACATTGCTCTCTCCAAGAATCCTTTTTTAAATGTCTTAAGTACTGAGGAAAGTAAGTCTAACATGGAGTGTGAGGAGATTAACTTGACTCCTGCTGTTAAACTAATGAACATTCCAAGGCAGATCATTCTTTTACTATTTTTAAGGGTTGAAGCTGAAACAAAATAAGCAACAGTTTTAGGAGGCAGAAGTTAGAGCAGATGCTTATATATACAGAAGAAAAATGTATGCAAATTCCCTTTTTTTAAAAGATTTTATTTATTTATCTTTAGAGGGGAAGGGAAGGAGAGAGAGAAAGAAATATCAATGTATGGTTGCCTTTCTTGTGTCCCCTGCTGTGAACTGGCCTGCAACCTCGGCATGTGCCCTGACTGGGAATCGAACCACGATACTCTGGTTTGAAGGCCCGCACTCAATCCACTGAGCTACACCAGCCAGGGCAAATTCCTTTTTTTAATTGAGTTCACCACATAGTCTTCTACTATAATATTGACACTTTTATATTATAAGTATATTAATAAAATTGATGTTAAGAAAAATTTTCCTTGTCCACCATACATCATTAAAAAAAAACACCTTGCAGTTTCAAAAGGATGTCAGCTTTTAAAATTGATGTGTAAAACATATTAAAACACAATTATTTAAAAAGATATACTTTAAGCCCAAAGTATTGGTTAAGTTCTGAGGTGTGATTTGTGACATCTGAGATGCGTGTCTCCTGAGACAAATTATGCAGGAGGGGCATGTCCACTTTGATCCATCACAGAGTTGTCGGGTGCGGACGTGACCTCCAGAACAAGGGCCCGGACCACTGTGTGTGCATGTGCCATCTGGGACCACACTGGCCCCTGGCAGAACAGGGTATTTGTTTTGAGATGCAGAAGAAGGACTCTCTAAACTTTGTGTCTCCTCTTTCTTAAAAAGAATAAAATAAACACTTTTCAGACAGATGTCTACCCCTTCAGAAGGCCTTCCTCACCATCCTATAGGGCCCAACACGTCAGCCAGTCCAAAGTCCTTTTTTAATTTTTATTGTTGTTCAAGTACAGTTATCTCCATTTCCCAGCCCCTCCCCCACTACTCCCCAGAGCCATTTCTAAGGTCATGTTTTTAAGACTAGGATTGCCTTTCTTAAAAAAATATTTTAATTATTCTATTACAGTTGTCCACATTTTTCCCCTTTGCCCTCCTCTGCCCAGCCCACGCCTGCTCCCACGGTCCATCCCCACGCTGCTGTTCATGTCCACGGGCCATTCACACGTGCTCCTCGACTGGTCCCTTCCCCTTGTTTCCTCCTTGCTGGATTCAATGTAGAGTAAAAATTTCATTTCCAGTTTCCTGACATAAGCCGCATGCATGTCAGGAGCTCCATGCATGCACTACAGGACACTCTCATTTCCCTCCATCCTAATTGATGGAGCCTTTCCCAGGATCCTAACTGATGTTTCTATGCTTTAGGATAAAAGATTCCTTTTAAAGCCTTTGTCAAAGGGATTTCCACCATTATTTTCTCCTAAGCCCTTTTACCTATCTGTTACCAAATTTATGGCATTTTCAAGCAGGTAACTCTTCCTGGATTCTTTGGAGTTTGAAAAGCTGCAAAGAAACACTGCTGTTATCTACGTCAAACCCACGCAGCAAACAGGAGAGAAGCAAAGAGGTCAAATGGCATATCCACAGTCACGTCTCTAGTTTCGATTACAGTTGCACCGCCTTCCATGTGTGGCGATGACTTTGAACAGAATGAGCCATGAGTAAGTCCAGGAAGTGAAAAATGTACACTTGCTAACAACAGGATAGTTATAGCAACAGGATAGGGAAACAAATGTGTTTTGCTTCTTTAAAAGGCTCCTATGAGCAATCTATTTTCTCTTAGGATATTTCCAAGCTTCAGTTTAAGCACCTGCACAACAAGCAGTATTTCCAGGTAAAGTATAAATAGCTCCTTAGCAAAGATTTTGTTCCTCAAAGCCCAGCATAATCAATTTAGAGTAAGTTTT